CATCAAATCTATTACCGTTCTCTATCTTCCTCTCTCTCTCTCTTTTTGGAAACTTTTATTATATGCAGGAATTGGTAAAGAATGAATTTTTATGGTAGTATATTTCTCTAAAAAATTTTTTCATTTTCAAACAGAGATTTTTTTTATATAAATTCCTATATTTCCCATTTTTAATATTTATTGTTTTTGTAAGCCTTAAACTGTTTCACTGTTTTTTTAGTTACTCAACTTAAATTCCCAGATTTTTGGTTTGGCAAAAATTCCTGGCAAATTCCCGCCTTGATATAAATACAAAAAAAAAAAAAAACCAACTGACCAACAAAATACTTTCAATTTTGGGCTAGGAAAAATATTTACTGTTGCTCCGCCAGGCTACACCGCAACAATTTTATCCAAAAATATTCCCGAAAAACAAACAGCAAAAAAAATATATATATATATATATATATATAGGAAAATAGTTGACACAACCGACAGCCGCATTTTTGTATTAATTAACGAAAAGATGAAAGTCCCGGGGCTGGTTCTACTCAATCGGGGGTCACATCTCGGGGTCCATCCAAAATGCTCATGAAGCAGAAAATAATTAATGTTAATGCCTCGAAATGGAATCGGTGTGGGTCCCGGGCAGCGCTCTCTCGGACGCTCTAATTTGTGCAGACCGCAAAGTTCATAGCAAATTAGTTGATTAGTTTAACGTCGAAGAGGCTTTCCAAAATGCGAGTGAGGGGGAGCTATGGCTCTTGGCATTTGATATTGGCCTGGCCTGGTCGCTGAAAATTTTATAATTCAATCAGAGCTCAAACACACTCAGACAGAGACTTGGTAATGCGGCAATTTGCGTAAGGACTTCGGCTTCATTCGGGAGGGGATCTGTGTGTGGGAAACAACAATAAACAAACATTTGGAGGTCGTTAATGCCCCCATGATCCCCATCCCCCTTCGCGGGATTCAAATGCGTTTTATTGTGAATTTATTAAGCGTGCCCAGGGCGAATATTAAACGCCTGGACTGGCCTGGTCTGGCTCTGACTCTGACTCTGGCAATGGACGGTGACGTGACACTCTTCCCGTGGCGGGAATGCGGGTCTGGGTCAGCCATAAACTTGGCCATAAGCGGAAGCCACAAAAAGCCAAAGAAATGTAGGGTACCAGCACAATGGCCAAGTTGATGCCAAGTTACTTAAAAGAACGCAAAAAGACAGCCAAGTTGACATCTTTTCAGTGTTCCCAATCATTGGACTTGATCTTCAAAAAAAACTTTAAGATCTCTTGGATTAAATATAAAGTTAAAATCCCAAGTACCTTTTATTATAATAACAAAACTCACTTCAATTTAATTGAAACTCTTTCCAAGCAACTCACCAGAACCCATCACCCTGCAAAACAGATAAAATCCTAATGTCATTCGGGCTAAAAACCGCTCAAGTTTTAGCGGAAAATCTCCGAGTTTAGCCAACAGTATTAGGGCAACCCCCACACATGTGGAGTGAAATAATTGTTATGGGCCTAAAACCCTAAAATCCTTTCCCTTGCCATTTAAAACAATTTGAAACACTTTGCCCGGCGCTTAACATGGCTGACAACAAATTTGACACACCAAAGCCGCTTTGATCAATATAATAAAAGACATTTGTTAAGTTAGCAAAGCAAGCGACAAAAAATTGCTTAACAGGCGCAGTAAAGTACATACAGGAACAGACACAAAAAAAAAAAAACAAAAAGAAAATAAAATTTAATTAAATTTATAACGCAAAGCCGCAAAACCCGGCCAAGAGATTTATGTGCCCGTTAATTTTGTCAAAGCGAGCACAGTAACATAGAGAGAGATGCCGGCTAAGTGTCCTGCAGGAGAGTGTGGCATAAAACAACAACAACAACGAAAGCAAAAGGAAAGAGGAAAAGGCCAAAGCAACAGCAAAAACAAGAAGAAGGAGAAAAAACCTCACCGGATTTCCTGTGATATGCCACAATATTTTCCATTAACGCGCTGGAGTTACCAGCGGGAGCGAATAAACTGGAAACTGGTCTCGATAAGGAGAAAAAAAAAAACAACAACACACTCAGGAAAAAAAGGGAGGCAAAAAAGAAAAGGGAAAAAGATGAAAAAACAAAAGGCTCAATGTGCGTTGGTCCAGGCCACTTCACTTCACTCCGGATTCTGGATACTGGACAAGAGAGTTGCCTGCCTCTTAGGCCTCTTCTACAGCGACAGTTGCTGGCTTTGTATGAGTTAATGACTTGTAGATAGTTTAACTTACAAAGCAGACCGTCCTAGGCCTAGGTTCGATACTACAGATACACAACAGAGAGAGAAGGAGAGAGGGTACAGCGGAGGATAGGCTATAGACTGGGCTAAAACGGGGACCTTCGAGTGCGTTGCGTTGACCATTAGTGCGACATCCGGCGTTGCGCTTGGCTTGCCATTGCCACATGTAACACAGCGAGTTAGCAAAAGAGATGAGCTAAGAGCATACCCTAATCCAAGAAATATATTTTTGAATTTAAATATTAAAAAATCTATATAAGAAAATGTATCATAAAGATCAATAGCAGAAGTATTTAAAGGTTTAATCATTCCCCTATCCTTTATATACCATCACCGCTTACGGCTCTCCCATCTCTAGCTTCCTTTTTGCCAGGACCTGCTCCCTATCGGCCTAAAAACTATTAGCAAGCTTTTGAGGCCAAAAGCAGGACAGGGCCAGGCCCAGGCACACTCACTTAACTTGTGGCCAGGAACCAACTTGAGCCTAGGCACAGGAAGAGGCCCAAGTGCAGGAACCAGGCTCTGAGGGATGAAGGGAGAACCCCTGGATCGACATGGTCATCATCATCATCATCGTCGTCGTCGTCGTCATCGTGCGTTTTGCGGTTAAGCAGTTAGTTTAGTTTGCGTACAATTTGTGGGGAACAGTTGACAATTACAGCTGCTGTTGGTGCTGCCGCTCCTTCTTGACCAGGGCCAAAAGCGATGGCTGAGAGAAGCCATGAATGAAATGCTAAACCGGTCTCTGGCTCATCTTTCATTTACTTTGCACTTACTCCAGTCATAGTCGAGTGGAGTGTGTTTTGTGCTCTTCAGTTGTTCAGTTGTTGAGTTACTCAGTTGTTCAGTTCCTCAGTTCCCCAGTTGTTCAGTTGTTCAGTTGTTGAGTTGTTCTGTACCTCAGCTCTTTAGTTTAGTTGTTCCTTGGGCCGTTTCTTTGGGCTGCTTGCTTCCTACTGTCACACTTCAAGGATTTCTTTGTTGGCCATCCTGCAGTACACACATATGTGTGTGTATGACAATTACCCCCGACCCAGCGGGTTGGCTTTCCTGTCTGCCTGTCTGCCTGTCTCTCCCCTGTTGTTGTTTGGCCATAAAACCCATAGAGCCGCAGTGCCATCTCCTCCCGTAATGACACTAAATGAGTTGTATGCTGTTGCAAGTCGGGTCTCAGTTTTCGCTCCTCTCCCCATCTCTCTTGCTCACTGTTTTTGTTGTCATTGTCAGTGCAAAAACCTGTCAAGTTGTGCAGTTTTTTTTTCGCTGGTTAATTGCCGCAGGAAATGTTCTGGCATTGCCGAGTTGGTCAACTGTCGCTTGGCTTAATTGCTTGAACTTTGGCCAGCAGAAAATGCAAATCGAGTCCCCCTCGAAAACGAATTACTAACTTGGCCCAGTCTTAACCCCTGGGTGGTCGCTGGTCGTTCACATTTCCGCTCTAACCAAATCATATCCGCTTGGACCCACTTTCAAGACCATCTTCCCAGACAAATAATCAATTAATCCACACACAGAAATGTGTTTGTTTTGTTTTATGTATTGTTTATCTGGCTGGCACAGTGGCACCAGATAACCAGTTTAAAGTGAGTTATAACTTTGCTGAAAAATCAATTGGTAATTAAACTTGTTTTCAGCTTTAGGGGGAATTAAAAAATGTTATTAGAGATTTGTGCAAAAGATTAATGGCCCAATCATTAGACTGGAAGAAATATTTATCACTGCTAAGGCGACAGTTTGTCTTTATAGGAACTCCTCGGATAGAGATGATTTACGAGGCTTTGTTTTCTCAGACTTAAATTGACCAAAAATGGAACTTTCTCTTCTTTGGTTTTATTTTTAAATTTTGCACCCACACACAACATTTTCCTCAAGGCGGTGACACAGTGTGCGTGTCAATGCTTTTATATATATACCTATATGTAGATTGCTCTAATGCTGATTAGGTCGCACACACATGTCTATAGATATACATATATATATAGCTATATAGCCCAGTGAGTAGGCCGCTCAATTTGGTATCGAACGTGGCCTGGTCGTTTCTTTAAGACATTTTAATGCTAATGAGCCGCAAGAGCTCTGTGTGGACCTAGGTGTGGGCCGACTGAGCTGGGGAGAACATATACAACAGAAAGAAAAAGAGACCGATTCACGGACTCACGGACAAATGGACAGATACATCCATGTCTCAATGACAGCCTGAGAGTTGTGCCTGACACATGTGAGTCGAGTCACTCTGAAGGAAGGAAGCGACCGAGGGAAACAGAGAAAAAGAAGTTGTACCAAATTAGTGCGATGTGACTGAGCGACGTCGTCGGGGCTTACGCTTAAGTAATGTGTATTTTATGTGTGGGCTGTAAAAACTGGGTAACCAACCGTAGGGGGTATATCCCACTAGCCCCCCCCCCCCTCCACTCTACGTCCCTGACAGGTCGACACATCCATGTCGATTCCGATGCCAATTGAACTGTTCCCATTGCCGGTGCACTTGGCAAACTACGTGAGCAAATGTCGAACGTGCCGATTAACCAAGCGAATTTCCTTTTCATTTCGTATTGTTTTGCACTGCCCGAAAATCAAGGGAAATTTTATACAGATTTATGAAAAAATAAAACAAACTTATAGCACATTAAATAATGGGGAAAAACCTTTTCAAAAACTTGTTTTAGTTCTACCAAACATCTCACTAATTCCCTTACATTTCTCTCTCTGCAGCTGGGACCTTCTCTTATGGAATGGCTGCAGTTACGGCTCCGGCTCCAACTTCTGCTCCACCTGCAGTTACCTCTCCCAATCCCCCCGCCGTGCAAAAGTTCCGGGTGACGCCCCATGATCTACAAATACTCGAGGGCACCGACACCCTCCTCCGCTGCGAGGTGTCCTCGCGCGCCGGCAAGGTCCAGTGGACCAAGGATGGCTTTGCATTGGGTTTTTCCGCTGTGATTCCTGGTTTTCCACGCTACTCGGTCCTGGTGGATGCCAAACAGAATGCATACAATCTGCAGATCAAGAATGCCACGCTCGAGGATGATGCAGAGTATCAGTGCCAGGTGGGTCCGGCGGCTGGGAATCCAGCCATACGGGCAAATGCCAAGCTAAGCATCGTTGCGGCACCGAGTAGCATCGTCATCGAAGGTTATGCCAGGAATGCCCGGGTGGAGGTGGAGGAGCGACAGAATCTAACGCTGCACTGCATCGCTGAGAATGCCAATCCGGCGGCGGAGATTGTGTGGTTTCAGGGCGATGTGCCAGTACAGAGTGGTAAGTTGATAATAATTTCAATTTGATATACAAATTATATATACTTCTTAAAGATATATTTCAATGGAAAAGACTTTCCAAATTATTTGAGGACTTTAGCTACTTTTCCTTGACCCCATTTCTCTCTGTGCAGCGCCCATTGTCTCTGTGAATCAAACGGCCCCGAAGCGTTTTACCACCAGTTCCACGCTGCACCTGCAACCCACCTCCGAGGACGATTACAAGGAGTTCTCCTGCGAGGCCCGTCACAAGGCCCTGCCCCCCGATGTCCCCATGCGTGCCCAGGTGCAGCTCTCTGTGCTGTGTAAGTGGGAATGGCTTTTCGAGTTGAGCAGAAATTCCTAATAATAGACGCCAATCCCCACCCTATGCAGATCCACCCGGAGCACCGTTCTTCGAAGGCTATAGCCAAAGTGAGAGCCTTAATCGCGGCCAGGATGTGCAAATCGCCTGTCGCAGTCGTGGCGGGAATCCCCCGGCTCAATTGACTTGGTATCGAAATGGTGTGGCCGTCAGTTCACCGCAACGAACCTCGGGACGTCTATCGGAGAACGTGTACAAGTTCACCGCTGCCGCCGAGGACAATGGAGCCAATTTGGTATGCGAGGCTAAGAATCTACTGGCACCCACGCCCCTTCGAGCCGAACTCAATCTGACGGTGTTGTGTAAGTTCCTGATCTCTCTTAACTTGTAAATAAACTAAGAAAATCAAAGAATTTGTTTAGCAGAATTTACCTTAAATTAATCCCCTATAAATAAATCCTCTTGTTTATTTATACAGATGCCCCCAAAGATGTTTATCTAAGCGGCGCTAGCCAAGCCAAGGTCGGCGATTCCGTGCAAATGAGCTGTGTGACTGCCCCCTCGAATCCTCCAGCCCGCATCAGTTGGTCCCTAAATGGTCGTCCTTTGGCCAATAGCACCTACAAGACCACCAGCAGCTCCGATGGCGGCTGGGTGAGCAGCTCCAACATTAGCCTGAACATAGATTCCCAGAGCAGAACCTTCATTGCCGTTTGCCATGCCCTAAACACGGAGCTAACGCAGAATGTTGTGGGCTCACACACTGTGAATGTGCTGTGTAAGTTTTTTTTGGTTTTACAAAAATATATAAATTAAGCTCAAGAAAAGCTTAATAATTTATATAAATTATATAATTTTATATCATTTTCCACACAGATCCCCCTTCGCCACCCTTGTTAACTGGCTACAATGATGGCGACATCCTCATTTCCGGTTCCATATTGAAACTGCAATGCAGCTCTGCTGGCGGCAATCCACCTCCTACCCTCCAGTGGTACAAGAACGACAAGAGACTGAATGCTCCGTCCAAGCTGGTGGACAGTAAGATTACCTCCGAGCTGTCCCTCCTGCTCAATGCCTCCGACAATAATGCCATCTACAAGTGTGAGGTTCAGAATGCCGCTATAGATATACCCTTATTCGCTACCAAGACTTTGGGTGTGCACTGTAAGTAAAGACTATATCTCTTCGTTATCCCAACTATATAGGATTTTCTTCACTATTATCAGTCCCCCCTGAGACGGTCAAGATCAGTGTGGTGCCCAAGAATTTGGTGCCTGGCATCCGGGCCAAACTTGTGTGCGATTCCAGCTCTAGTAATCCTCCAGCCAAAATCAGTTGGTGGAAGGATGGCATTCCCGTTGAGGGTTTGAACCTGGCCAATCGTCCTGGTCTTTGGGGTGGTTCAGTGTCCACCCTGGAGATGTATGTGAATATAACCCAGGATCTGGATGGCATTATCTACACCTGTCAGAGTCACAACGAAGTGTTGCAACGCAGCGTGCACGAGACCATTAGCTTGGACATACTTTGTGAGTATTTATCTTAATTATTTTAATTTATTTATCTTAATTTATGAAATGCAATATGTAGATCCCCCAAGTTCGATACTGCGCAGACCACAACCTTCGTGGGCGTTGAGGGGGCGCCATTCCATGTGGAGCTGCTGGCCAGCGGAAATCCCATGGCCATTAGCTATACCTGGACCAAGGACGGTTTACCCATTAGCAGCAATAGTCTGAGCGGTCAGCGATTGATCTCCGATGGACCGCGTCTCAACATTAGTCGTCTCAGTCGCAATGATGCGGGTATCTATATCTGTGAGGCTCTCAATAGCCAAGGCACTGCTCTGTTGGAGGTCCAGGTGGCCGTGGAATGTGAGTATTTAGTGGAGTGGAGTGACCCCCAAATGAAACAAAGCTAAGGTCTTGTTCTATAACTCTTATAGACGCACCCACCATTACGGCAGTGAGCGAGGGTCGCAGCTTTGTGGCTGGTGAGCCGGCTGTCTTGGCTTGCCACATCCAGGCCCAACCTCTGGAGGCTGCCCATGTCCGCTGGTCAAGGGATGGCTATGATTTGGCGTCGCGCACCATGGCCAGTTTTGAGAATGGAACTGCCTTGCTCCAAATAGCCAGCGTAGAGCGCAGCGATATAGGAAACTTCACCTGTATTGTGGACAACCAAAGAGGAGCTCCAGCGGCTCAGAATGTTCTCCTAGTTGTGCAAAGTAAGTTGAATATATAGCTTAGATACAGTCTAACCTCTAGGATAAACATTTCCTTATATCTGTGTTTTAATCCCTAATTCCCTTTCTTGTTGCTTCTCCCATTAGCTGCCCCTGAAATCGATCACTCCCCCAATTTCACCCGCTATGCCGCTCGCCTGGGCGTTCGTGCTCAGCTCATCTGCCGAGCTCTGGCCGCCCCTCAGCCCAATTTCATCTGGCGTCGCAATGGCAAGGATCTCAAGATGCAGCGACGCAACAAGTTCAAGAGTGTGGAGCGTCAAGTGGATCCACTGAACTATGAATCTGCTTTATTAATCGAAAACACCTCAGTGGATGATTACGGACAGTACGAGTGCGTGGTTAGGAATGCCTTGGGACAAGCCAGCACTACGCTGGAGTTCAGCAAACCCACCCGGCCGGATACTCCTCTCCAGCTAAGAGTGGGTAACGTGAGTGATACGGGAGTGGAACTCAACTGGACCCCAGGATTCGATGGTGGAATGCAGACCTATTTCCGACTGAGGTTAAAGCAACATGGTGAGGAGAAGTACAAGTATGTGGATGCCAAGCCAGGATTCCTCAACATATCCCTGGATGGCCTAAAGCCTGGAGCCACCTATTACTTCTCCGTGATGGCAGCCAATGAAGCAGGTGGCAGCAAGTTCATGCCCGACATCAAGCTAACCCTCAGCAAGGGCTCCCAGCCACATTCGGCAGAGTACACCGAAAAGGATGAGCTGCCCAATGTGATGATCATTGGAATCACCTCGGCTGCAATGGTTCTCTTGGTGCTAAATGCCGCCCTGGTGGCCTGGTTCGTCATCCGACGACAGAACAAGTCCCAAAGTGAGGCAGAGCCCAGCAACGATGATGTCTACTCCAAGGATGACAATCAGTCTGTTTATAAGGTAGGATCATTACACTAATATCCCACTAACGAGATCTAACCCCTTCTGAAATCCTAATTAGCTGCCCATCACTGCTTTGCAGGCGGATGTTCAGAAGAAGGCAGCCGCCTCCACCTACCTCGTGGAGAATGTGGACATTATCCAGTCGACGGCATATCCGCCCAAGTACCAGGAGAGCTCCATGTGCACCCCGCCCTATCCGCTCTGCAATCCGGACTTTACCCGGACCCTGCCCAATCCCAAGCGCCACAGTCAACGGAACAGTGCCACCGGCATGATCGATGGCATGCCTATGCGCTCCAAGGATGATCATATGCTGATCTCTAATGGGTTGTACATCCCATCACCATCGCCTGCCTCCTCGCTGGTGATCAAGGGCAGCTACATATCGTCACCATCGCCGGCGCCGCCAGCTGATGGATCATACTTCAATATGAGCGATAAATATATGTCCTATCCCCCAGTGGTAAGTTCAGAAAACATTTTTTAATATATAGACACATTAGGAGTAAGATATTTGAGGATTAGAAAAGTGTGAGGGAATTTCATAGCCGATTACTTTTAATTACATGGCCTGCTAAGCCATATAACCTTTGCTATTGAAATACGGTTTAATTAGTATGTGAAGCAGTATAAATTTGTATATTAAGGAATATGTTTTCAAACCTTAATGCATGACATATACATATATTGTTAGTCAAAACATTTATTGCAAGCTCTCAATATACAATATGCTTATCGAAATGATCGAAAACATAAATTAATTAGTATTATTATCTCTGGTGGTGCATATAATTTTGTATAATGATCCAGATCAATCGTCAGACTTTGCCAAGCCCCCACTAATTAGCAGCTTGTTAGAACAACCTGTATTTACCTGTATTTCTAACGGCCATTCCACCTGTTCTCCCCCTCTACTTTGCAGACCTACTAAGCATCGTGCTGAGCGTGAATGACAGCCACAGACAGCCCAACCCAGCCGAATCTCAAGCTAGACTGATTGACATCACATCATTCATAATCACAGGCAGAAGAATATATATATATATATATAAACATATATATTTATATGGAGAGAAGCGGAAATGGAATAACGACAAAACACTTAATCAATAGATGGGGACGGTGTTCGTGTCTCTTTCGGCTGCTGCGGGTTTTATTGAATTTCTTTATTTTTTATTTCTATTTTACGTTTGTAATTATTACTATATGACGTTGATTATTACGGAGCGCAAATGGAGAAACCATGTTGAGTGTGTTTTGAGAAAAGACATTTGCATGCGGCGCTCGAAGGCTGTGATAAGTACCTGTGCCCGAAGCACGCGTTGGCCACAAACCAAACGATCATCCGGCAGATGGGAGACTTCAGACGTCAGAGACTTTCCCGGTTTTAAGGGATATTTATTTGGTTTGGAGCCCACGGGGCAGGTGCGCAACCAAAAAAAAAATAAAAATAAAATAAACGCTCTACGATAAAATGCTTGCCGCCCTCCTCCGCAATCCCAATAATCCAAAACACCACAAGCAGCAGCAGCAGCAGCATTTGTAGAAGCCACAAAAAATATAAAAAACAAACAAAAAACCACAAAAGAAATAATAAGAACAACAAAAGAACTCTCAAAATATTAATTTGTAGTAAGATCCATCGATATTAAGTAGTAGGAATTACGCATTTTAGCATTTAGCATAAATATTACGAGTCTGGCGAGTCAAGACTCATTCTCATTAGCAGTTGTTCAAGTTTAAGCTATAGGACATACCCCGATATTTATCAGCATACGTACTGTACACACATAAACATATTTAAATAGTATATGAATATTTACACAGAGAGCAGGCCCGAAAAGGGTAAACGATTTTCAACGAACAAAAAAAAAAACCGATAAGAAATCACCAAAATCGAAACACAGATTATATATTAAGCGTGACTTGTGCTAGACCTAAGACTTGAAACATCAAATAATATTCGAAATATATAGATACATCTTTTTATCATGCATGACAATAATTATATACATGGTAAAAAAGTTGATGCATGTACGCGCGAGCGCCAAAAATTATGCTAAAGAACTCTTATAAATACAAATTCCATTAAAAAATGTTAATTATAAATTAGACTTTGACAGCATTTGCATTTAAATTGAAGAGGGGAGCTAAGTATGTGTATAAAATATTTCATTAATTAAAGTAAATATTTAAATGTAATATTTAAAATTTTAAAGATAAACAAAAAGAAAATAAACTTAAAAAAAAAAACGAAGAAAACGACAACAAACTTTTTGTATATTCAAACAAAGAAAAATATTTGAATAAAATTACAAATTTTTCAAATTAAATTGAATGTGTTTTGATTTTTTTAAAGGGGATTTTTTACTGTGGGAAAACCTTTCACAGATATCACTATAATTTTTCTTGTTATAAAATAGTGATCGGTACTGTTTTTTGAAAGGTATTTTGGATGCTATTTTTATACCCTTTCAGGGTATTTTAATTTTAGTCAAAAGCTTGTAACCAAGTGAAGGAATCATTTCCGACCCTATAAATCATATATATTATTGTTCAGAATCAACTGGAAAATCGATCTAGCCATATATGGAAGAAAATAAATTTTTATTTTAAATTTAAAAATGGTATTGCACCTTCAGTCAGAAGTTTAAAACTAAGTGAAGGAGTCATTTCCGACCCCATAAATAATATATATTCTTGATCAGCATCAACAGGCGAATCTTTCTAGTTATATTAAGCCAAAAAAATTTGTTCAAAAATTTTCCCCTTTTTTTCCTTTAAGCAAAAGGGTTACATCATGAAAATGTAAAAAAAAATCGGCCAAAAATTCAATTTTACATAGAGTATGCAGATTTATTTACCTGCTAAAAATTAACATAGGAACGCTTTCCGAATTAAAATTAATGCATTTTTGGCTTAGTTATGAGTCTTTTAAATTTGATTTGTTATATTAAAAAATCAAAGTTTATCTATTAAAAGAATGCGTTTATTTGAAGCTTATTTTTGATAAATTTGCTATTCAAACCTATTATTGAATTGCAAACGGCAAGGGTATATACATTTCGGGTTCTCAAACTTAGGTTCCTTTCTTATTTAAAGTTAAAAATTTGTCCAGTGTCATCAATCAGCCGGCTGACTTTGGACATCATTCTTCTTTCTTTTCGCCCGGGGGCTTTCTTCTCCTGGTGGGCGTGTCCACTTGCATCTTAAATGCCGCCTAATTGATTCTACTTTTTCGGGGCCAACCAGACAAAGTGGCGGCATTTTGCTAGGAAGTTTTATTAATTAATAGCAACGGCGGCTTGCTCGACTTAATTAATGGAACATTTAATAATACATATTTCTAATTTCTGAACAAAATAAAAAATAAGCATGAACATTAACATTAACGGATTGCGGATCAGCTTTCACAGCCTCGAGAGAGACTTTGGCAGGTGGTCTCAAATGATTTTTCATTAAATTAAACTCCACTTGGGGTTATTAAAATGTAAATTCAGCATTATCTAAGTTAGCCTTATTTGTTTTGGCCGAGATTTGATTTTAATTATTAATCTCAATTTTGTAGAATTCGATTTTCGGGCTTTTATTTCCGCCCTTTGATTTGTTTGCTTACTTTATTGATTTACCATAATGCTTCCGGGTACTTGCAATTAAATAAAATCCAGACTGCTTATTATTGCAGTTAAATTAGTTATTTGTTTATTTGTTGGCCCAATGCAATTTCTGTTAATTAAAACAGCAATTTTGGGTTTAGAGTTTGGCTAACTTCATGAACATGATTATTGACATTACTGTAGCATAACTGCACATATTTTAATAATCAATTCAATTGCAATATATAAATGCAATTTTAATTACCATATCTGGGCCGACGCCCTGTCACCATAATTCTAACCTTTTTCTGGTTCAAACACGCCTCGATGGCCACTCGACTGTGGCAGTGGCAGTGACAGAAAAATATACAAACAATTAAATTTAATTTTCCAGGATAGCTATCGTTGGAGGAGCAAACAGGCAGACAGCCAGCCAGCCAGTCAGTCAGTCTGTCCGTCCGTCCGTCCGTGGAAGTAAAAAACAACAATGCATAATTAAGTACACTGAATTCATTAAATTTTAATTAAAACATTTGAACGACCAATGGATTTTTATTTTGCCTGGCGACTTAGCAAGGCGACGGCAATAATGGAAAGGGCGGCATCCACCACTAGCCGACTTTCTAATGCTTTAACCAACGTTTTTCCGCGCTAAAATTGATTTTCTTCAGAACTTTCTGCAGCGGGGATCTAAGCCCAGTTGGGAAAGTCAACAGAACCATCACGCAGCGGAAAACTTCATTAAAAGTGGGCAGCAGTTGGTTCTAACTGGGGAAGGGGAGGCCGAGGGGCCTTGACGCCAATGTGACGACGCCTGGCGCGGTTCCACTTCCTGCGACCAATCGTACTTTTACCCGGGTTGGTACTCGGTATTGGTGGCTCTGGAGCTCTGGCACTCGAAGCACTCTGGCACTCTGGGTACCAACTCGCAGACGCAGCACAGAATCGAACACATAATCATATTTAATAAGCGAGAGAGCTGCAAGTGTGCAATGTGGCATGGTTCTGGTGCTCCTCTTTATGTTGTCCAGGGACTGCACTGAGAGGAATTTTATGTATGCAGAAAGGGATTTAACCTTTAGATACTTTTATGTATATGAAGTCGCTATTTTCTACGCTAAAACTACTGAGAAGATATGTTGTAAGTCCCGATTTTTCAAGTGTTGCAAGGCACTCTCTCTATCCTATTTCTATCCAATGTAACAAATTTAACGATATATCCCTGAGCGCAATATGTTTCCTCTTGATATACAATCTCTAATTTTTAATCCACATGTCTAAATACGAATTATCCTGCTTCCCCTGAGATTTGAATATTGAATTTAATAACATGTTATCTATAGCGATTTCTTTACGTGTGCTGCCCCTCCTTCAACTGATGTTATAGTCCCTCCTCCTTCTCCTCCTGCTGCTGCTGCTGATGATGATGATGATGAAACTGATGCAACAAGTGCAACAGAATCGAGCACAGATGTGCTGCAAACCGGTTGAGCAACTGCTTCGTCTAAACGCAATTTGTTAACCTGACTGACAAACTGCTGCGGCCTGTTGATGCTGCTGCACTTGTTGTTGCTGCTGCTGCTGCTGCTGCTCCTGCTGCTTCTCCTGCTGAGGTGCGATTGCAATTAAGTGCCAGAACCTGAACCAGTTTCCTAGCCCATGAATCCTGTCCGGCAGCAAACACTTCATTCATAAAATTACGCGCCTGTTGCGTGATGTGGTCGCTAGATAAGCGGTCCAGGAGAATTGGAGGAGTCGAAGTCGGAGTCGGAGTCAGGATCGGGATCTGAGGCAGCTTGCGGGCCCCAGTTAGGGCCAAGGAAACCTGTTGAAAATCCACTCGCACATCGACTAACTTCTTGACTGGCAGGAAAACAGCAACCGAAAAAACTCGCTTTTCCTGGTAATTAATGAAAGCTGACTGGACTCCATCTACAGCTCTCGGGCTAAGATCTTCTGCACCATCTGCAGGTTACTGGCTACTGTTGCCGCCAGTTATTAAAATGTTGCGATAAGTTCAGCTTGGCCCGGCACATTTGTATGCAAAGTGCCAACAGTTTTTCTCTCCTCCTCCTGCCCTGTTTGATGATGATCCGACAGAGCTCCGGCAGGAAGTTGTCTCTGGAAAGTGATATTGAAAACTGCACTCAAAATGGATTACTTCCTTTCTCCAAGTCCAGTGCTAGTCCCTGTCCCTGTCCCTGTCCCTTTGGTGTGAATGGCTGACAGAGATGGACCTTAGATTGCTTCGTTGAACTTTGGGGAAATGCTCTGCTCTGCGATATGTGTGGCGATATGCAGGCTAAAAGGCAAAAGGAAAAGCGACAGCTTTGAACAAGTTTAAAGACAAGACTGCAAGGAAGGAAAAGTCTTTGTTCCCTCAACAATGTCCAGGAATACCCTTATAATATCTGCTCTGGAAACATCCAACTAAAAACTGTCTTTCTCAGTCATTTGTTGTAGTGTCTTCTTGAAAAGCTCAACCTACAAATTGAATTTGC